GAGAGATTATATGTGTAACTTTTTGTTTTTCTATCAATATTTGTTTCTTACCTTTTTTTTTGTACAAAAGACGGGGGCCGAAGCCTAGCTACTACTCCTAAGACAAAGTGCGACGGGGATGAGACACCCCTATTATGTCGTGTTCAAGCCAACTGCCAATGGACGGAGGTGGGGCGGCCAAACGGTGCACCCCGAGGGGTTCAGAAGCTGCTAAGAAGGCCAGGTGATCCGCAGCGAAGTTCGCTTCCCGATGCACATGTACTAATTCCACCGTCCAATCACGATCCCGGAGTTCTCGTATTGCCCGAACGAGGCTACCATGAATCCCATTCGCATCCTCACGCCCCATAACCATATTAATCACGCTACTGTTGTCAGCTTCTGCCACCACCTTTCGAACGCCCAACTCCCACGCGAGCGAAAGCCCATGAAAGAGACCCCAGAGTTCGGCTCCAGTAATAGAGCAAATCCCTATGTTCATCAAGAATCCCCCAAGCCAACGGCCTTGTGAGTCACGAGCCAAACCACCCGCAGACCCACAACCCAAGTGGGATGAGAACGCCCCATCCGAGTTCACCTTAACCCAACCAGACGGAGGGAGGGACCAGTGAATCCACCGAGTCTCATATTGACGGGCTATGGATCCAACCTTCGCAAGCTTGTCATTCGCCGTTAAACATCCCTCCACACGGCTCCGTATATCAGAAATTTTAGCATCTACACGCCATGTTATTTTCGAAAATATAGCCGAGTTCCTCCAAGCCCAAATCCTCCAACACGCGTACGAGAAAGTCACCGGCCAGGCATTGTCGGAAAATTTCTCATCTGGAGTCAAGTTGTACCAAAACCAATCAGAGATGTCCATCGCCAAGAAAGAACCGTATGCCACAGCGGGTACCAAATGAGTCCAGAGCAGACGAGCCATAGCACAGTCCCGGAGGACGTGAAGTGTGGACTCATCCTCGCCACAAACAGCACAAGCCGCGGACACAGCCAGGTGTCGTCGTCGGCGTTCCACATTGGTGAGAAGACGGTCTTTGGCAGCAAACCAAATGAAATGTCGAACACGCTGCGCAATTGGGATTCGCCACACCAGTTTCCACAAAGGTCGAGCCACATACGAGGAAAGACCAGCTACTAGGGAGTATGCCGACTTAGCCGAGAATTTGCCGTGACTTGTAAGCCCCCAGATCAGGCAGTCTCCGCCAGCACTAGCATGCGGCGGCAATGTGGCCGCTATGCGTAACAT